AAAAAAGTGTCATCTTGAGAAGAGAGAGGTCTCCAGGCAGCATCCCAATCATTCTAATCAGACTGCAATCATTTGACCAATTCTATGCTGATTATTAAATGAATTAAGAAGCACGCAGGGATCATTTCGGGCATGGCTCACTTGTTTTCAACAAGTTATCAGACTTAGTTTGTGATTTTACTTCATTTGCCCTTCAGGCTCATTATCTCAACACTGGTTGCCAAACCACCCTGTGCTTTGCCACTTCGATGATGCCCTTTAGGGTTGTAATCCCTGTTTTGAGAACCACTGCCTCAATGTCTGCACATAATACTATTTTTAAGGGACCTTTGATGAAAAAGAAACTGTAAACGTTTACCTTTTTAGTTTACCAAACCAGACAGAAAACACATTTAGCACTCTAAGTATTTCTTGAGCCATCAAGTACACTGTAGACAGGCCTCTTGTCTTCAAAAAGTCTTAAAGACTACAATAAATGTCCAGTATGTTTGCATAAGAAATCACCCACACTTCAGTTTCTGTTTAGTTTCAAGCAGCTTTGTAACAATTATTCTGTTGCATCATTTGTCTCTTTTTAGGTATGGACTGTGATTTTTCTGGCTGTCAGTGAACAGGTCCTTAATCAAATAGAGGTTTCAGAGGCAAAAGTATTTGGGGGGCCACCTTGCCCCAGGCAAGCCTTAGCATGTATTTGCTGTTCTGACCCAACATTCTGTCAGTGACTCTCTGAAGTAGGGTTATTTAAAATTAATATGGTTCTATAACTAAGATATATTAGTATTACTTTCATATTTTAAAGCTTTCTGTGGCTTCCTATGTCCATCCATGCAGGCTTTATTTTGGATGATAATTGTTCCTTTTTATTCTCTGTGAAAAGTAACAAAGTTATCACCGAAACTTTTAGACCAAGATTTTATTATTGCAACCTTCACAAGCTTCTGAATTCGCACTCACATATTATCAAATGCTGCTTACATTTTCTTTTTATGTGTGTTCACTATTTTTTCTAATTCAGTCATAAGACATTATTATTTTAAAAGGGAGAATAGCAGTAAATAGACAAAATAGTATTTTTTTAAAACATTACTGTCATATTCAAGTATAAAACCATTAACTACTTAGGATATGTTTAAAGATAATAATGCATGTGTTTGTGAGATCAAGGCCCAAGTTCAGTATTATTGCAGCATTGCTCAGAACACAGATCAACAAGTAACTACCACATGCAACTGAGGTTCCGTCCCAAGTCTTATAGTTTGAATAACATAAACCAGTGCTTCCAAGATTAATGTATTTCCAGCCCTGCATGGATGCAATGTCTTGACATTACCTTCTGTATTCTTTGGCTTCTTAGCAATTCTTAACACCTCTTTTAAGTAAAACTTTATTTAAGAGTAACTTGGCTTCTTTTTACAGCTTTTCCTCCTAATATTCAGAATTGGCTGTTCTGCATTATACCCTACTAGACTAACTACTATTAAAAAAAAATTCTTATTCTGACACATAGTAATACCATACAAGTCATTTATATTTTCAAGGTAAAGTAATCATTAAATCAAAACAGCTTTAAAAAGGGATTTTTCTCAAACTTAATTTTGTACTGAAATGCAAATAATGGCAACTACAGAGCTGAAGTACTAACTTTCCTTTCTTTCTAACCCTAAGGAATAACAACAAAATAAAAATCATATCTACTCATAGCATCTACAAACGTGAACATGTATTACTCAGAAAAGTCATGTCAGTTTAAGGAATATGATTCTTCTGGTTATAGCAGATAGGATATTGTTTTGATGCAGACAAATAATTGCATGAAGTTTACCTCTGTGCTTCCTACTTCTCCTGTAACATTAATCTTTCCTTTTCTGCTATGTTCAGATACGGTAGTCCAATTGCTGCTTCGGCTTACAGATGCCACAAAAAACTCCAGTCAGGCACCAGGAATTTTACTAACATTGTCATCAACAAATGCCAGTTATATCTTCCATAAAAAATGGATTTTCATCCCTATTTTTAATTCACCTTGCTTATCAGCTATTTCCTTCAACTCATCTGAAAAACCCCCAAAAGCTAACTCTACAAGTTCAGACTCTGGAATTTACTAAATACCCTTTCCCCCTCTGTGTTTTGAATATGAAAAACCATTTCTAACATTGCAGAACTGTTTTAGAAAAGAACTGCCTTTAAAAATATTTTCATAAGTGAAATTTAAATAAACAATACTTTCAGGATGCAAACTAGAGCTGTTATGAAGTGGATCCAATCTTTGTATCAATATCAGTAATTCAGCATTCCATGCATAATGTTTATGAGAGAAGTAACTGTTGTGTACAAGCCATGAACATGCACTTATTTTGAGCAAATGGAAGGTACAAAGCAGGGAATTTATAAAGCACATTAAAGCCTTTTCCTTTAATTTTCCTGACTAGCTTCTTGGAGTATCAAATATTCATAGAAGTACTTGATATCTTTTTCAAAATACCAAATAAACACTGCATTTAAGAAATTAAAATGAAGACTTATACTTTTTCTTAGGCCTTCATATCTCCTTCAATACTGTCAAAAATGTACTCCTAGGTTTCAAAAGCATTCCACTTTCATTTCCAAAACATAAAACCCAATTATATATCTCAGAAAATATTTATTTCATCAAATTTACTTTTCTAATGCAGAATCTTAAAAAGTGCCCCCATATTCTTTTATATCAACATATCGTCATACCCACTTAATCATACAACCCTTCTAAATGTAAAATAATTTCACCTCAGTATTACCATGGTCATGTGTCTCAATAAATTATTCGTCCCTTACATTTTATCCCTGTTTTTGAATTAGTAAAAGTGTGTATATCAACCATGCATGTCTGGTAGTGATGATATAACCTGTCAGCTAGAGGGAAGCTCCATGAAGTAATCTGTCACCACTTTTTTTGAAATAAACTATAGCTTTTCAGGGACTTCTGGAAAGCGGATACTGATAGAAGTTATTGTGACAACAGGCTGAGTATCCTGCATTACAGCAGCAGGTGCTTTTTGTGTTTCCACTACCTTTGGACCCCCCATCATGCCAGTATGAAACTTACCCTTCCATCCTCAAGCATGCAATTCACCTATGGATTCAACTATTAGCTAATGGGTTGTACTAAAAGTAAATTACCTTGGTGACTCTCAAATCATGCTTTGGAACTAAAAAAACAAACACCCCCCCCACACACACCCATTTTAAAGATGTCTATTCACTTAACAAATTGCTTTTGTTCACAGTGCTCCCTTCTCACTCTCCCCCAGACCAGCAAAAAAGTTTGGGTTATGTCATTTCTAGATTCATATGTCAAGTCTTTCCACAGGTCTTCACCTAGAAACAATTCTGTTCTTTGTAGATCTGCAGCCAAAAGAAAACTTGACACATGTATCACATATATACACATGATCCGTATAACCTATTTGTTACTCATCTATCAAAACACTAACAAGCAGGAACTCAGGACTATATCCCCGTCTTTGTGAGCAGGACATGTTTTAAAGCCATTTTAAAACAAGGTAGCTAGTGGTAGTTTACTTACTTTGCAATGTGTTTTACTCTATATAATATTTTTTCCATGCTAATAAATGACAATTCTGCCTGCAGTGATATTACATAATCATTCTAACTTTTTATTTTCAAAAAATGGAGGCAACTATCTGCTGTAATTCTCTTACCACCAAGGATCGAGAATTTCCATTCAGATGTCATATTGTTGTTATACATGCCTGTTATTGATAAAAAGTTTTGGTGCCATGGTCATAAAAATCCACTGAAGATTATAGAAGTTTTCCCTTTTTTCCAGTCAGCGTTACTAACTGTTGTTATCCACATATATATATATATATATTTCCATTTACATATAAAATCATATACACTCCCAATGAAGTTTGAAAGGAAAAAAATGTACTTACACTAAAGCAATACTTGCAATGTTACTTTTTACCATGATAAGGTGCCTCTTAGAGCTACTTTTCAACAGTTATTCGAATTATTTTTACCAAGAGAAGCCAGAATTCACCCAGAAAAAAATGGGGTTTGATAGTACCAGAAAGAAGATTGAAAATAGTTGTATGCCCTTGTGTGTTCTACAAACAAGAGACAAACTGATGTCATATAATAGCATTATTCATATTCTGTTGGCATTAGAGGTCTGTAAAAACATTAACTGATAGGTATTGATACTCATAGCTCTTAATAAAACCATAGAATTTGGAGGGAAAACAAAGTCTTTGGTATACCAGAAAAAGATATATAGTCATGTTTAATCAATTATATATAAACCGAAAAAACCTAACTCAACCTTAAAAAATCAGTTGAGATTACATTTATTCTTATTAAAATTTCCATTGAATAACTTACTTCTTCCTTCACTGTTGACTAAGTTAAGAAGCTGCAAAGACTACATCTGCACTGGAGGCAAGGCAGCCCACTTTTCTGGTTGGCACAACACGTTTCCCAGGCAAAATGGTTTATTTTAAGTAGCTTTTGTGAGTACAAAGGATGCTGGAGGGCTAACCCTTTTTGCCCCCAGCTGAGGCAATTTGCAGCTATTGCAGACATGGACACTTGTTTAAACACTTACATGCCATGCCCTTTCTGTCACCTGAATACCAAACACTATTTTGATGAGGAACGTAAAATTCTGCAGAACCACTGATCAAATGCACTTTTATTATTTTTTACTTTTTCAATGCTGCAAAAAGCAAGCTTCAAAGCAGAAAAGCAAAAAGAAGAAGGGCCCTGACATTTTTGCATGCTTCTAAAAAATCTTTACCATTTATTCTTCTCTAATCACAATGCTTACATTTTTGCCTATAACTACAGGCTCTTCTGAATTTTGAACAAGAACAGGCAACAATCTTCCCAAAAAATATTTTCATGTCATATTTATTTCCTTTTGATTTTGTTTTAAATGAAGATTCTATCATTAATCATATAAATCAGAGATAATTTGCACATAGAAAAAGAATACATACCTTATATTGGATAAGGAGACCATAAACCAAAATATTTTTTTTTTTCACTTCCCTTGCAAATTTCTTGATCCTAGTTAGTTCTTCCATCTCAATGCTGAAAGAAATATTTTCTGAAATATCCAAGTGCACCTGCAGAGGAACAAACAAGAAAAAAAACAAACCCCCCAAAATTCTGCTTTTTCCATAGTATGTTATTCTAGACGTCCAGCTTTTAGTATCTCATTTCTATATGTTAAGCACACGTAAAAATACAGGCTAACAAAGGTTTTTCTTAGTTAGTTTCTATTACTATTGAATTCCAGTACTTATATATTTAGTGACATGAAAATTATTTCTTTTCAAAGCACAGTGAAACCAATACACCAGAAGACATTGGAACACAATGTTCTAACTGCATATTAAAATATTTAATTAAATCAGAAAAAAAACAACCTTATTTTCTAAGCTCTAACTTTCACAGATTTCTTTCTTTTACTATCAGGATACTAGAGAAATACAGGTGTTTTTCTTAAGCATCTTAAAGGTTTTCAAAATGGAACTGTATTATTTAAAGATTTAATTTGAATTTACCACCTTTTCAGTATAGCATATTAGTTGCCTAAATTGGATTAATTTCAAGATAACACTTCAAGTTTAAAAAGCAGAGACTACTACAAAAGAACATAGGGATATGACTGTCCTGAGCTCTTGGGCTGGGAAAGGCAGGTCTCATATCCAGCAGGGATGCTGCACAAACATGGTGGGTCTTATCTCCAGGGATGTATCAACTAGCTCAACCCTTTCCCAAGGCTTATGTGTTCCACAGTTTAATCAGCTTACTTTACAAAGTTTCTATTAACTGTAGAAATCAAAATTAAGGATGATGATTTCTACATATAAAGTTTCAGCATCAATTAATATCAGAAATACTTTTCCCCTTAAAACAAAGAGAGAATATTTTTCTGGCTGAATGATTCCATCGATATAAAACTTATCTGCAAGTACTACAGAGAGGCAGGAGTATAGAGGTAGCCCCAGAGATCTGTGCTTGGGAAAATTATTTCAAGTTCCCTTTGTACCTTATGTTCAATTTATCCTGACAGATAATAGGTTTCTACTCATTTTCCCTTGCAACACTTTTTAAAAAGCTGTTTATTGTCTAAGTGCATATTCACCAGGAGTAAAGCTGTTGTGTTCTACTACACAGGCAGAGATTAATTTTCACTCACTATTTTGTTATTTTTTACCCAAAACAAGGCAAAGTACAGCTCATTTACAGCTATTTACAAGAAATTTTAAAACCTACTATTTTGAGAGAACACAGCCTAACACCTATTTACCATTAAACTGTTCCACAGCTTTAAAAAGGGATTTTTCTCAAACTTAATTTTGTACTGAAATGCAAATAATGGCAACTACAGAGCTGAAGTACTAACTTTCCTTTCTTTCTAACCCTAAGGAATAACAACAAAATAAAAATCATATCTACTCATAGCATCTACAAACGTGAACATGTATTACTCAGAAAAGTCATGTCAGTTTAAGGAATATGATTCTTCTGGTTATAGCAGATAGGATATTGTTTTGATGCAGACAAATAATTGCATGAAGTTTACCTCTGTGCTTCCTACTTCTCCTGTAACATTAATCTTTCCTTTTCTGCTATGTTCAGATACGGTAGTCCAATTGCTGCTTCGGCTTACAGATGCCACAAAAAACTCCAGTCAGGCACCAGGATAAAGAACAGACTTGGAAATCTGTGGCAATTTACGGGCAGGAATATGGACAGAAGTCTTCATGTCCAGTACAAGCTCATCCTTTTACTGGGATAATTCTCCCCAGGCTAGTTAAAACAGACAGTCTGGCTCAATAATAACACCTGTCATTTTTACAAATAAAGAAGCTGAATATCAGAAGCAAAAAATAAAACTGACTCTCTTAATTATCAGATTGTTACAAAAAATTTACGCATGTCCTGAAATGAAAGAATAGACAAGAACTTTCCAATTACAAAAAAGTCTACATTAGACTGTTCTTGATTATGAGGTTAGAATGGAAGCAGTTAGCTGCTCTCCTCATTTATTCTTTCAATTCTTCACTATCAGGAATAGTTTTACTTCTGAGAGCAGAAAATAATAATGTTTCCCATACAGCTAGTACCTAAAACCTGTGCATTTAAATACCATCATATTGCTTAAAATTCTGAGTCACATTTGCCCGAGAAATATTAATGTGCCCTTTTACATCAAAAGAAAGTATCTTACAGGACTTTTCACCAACAATGCATTCAGGTTTTTTGTTAAACGAAGTATATAGTGAAGAATAAAGCTGAGGAAAAATCCCACTCATAAGCCTTAGTGAGGAGGACACCCAACACCAAATTTAATTAAAGACTGCTGAAGGAAGTTTCCATCCCCCAGCCATGCCATCTGTAATGAGTTTTAGGGATCAGAAGTTTAAAGGACTTATATAGTTCCCACTGATTAATATGAGACAATGATTTGTTTAGCTAATTCTTTAGTCATTTAAAACATACTTTCCAGTCCTCCTATTTTTTCCTTCTTGTATTTCTAAAAGATGGTGTGGTAACTCTATAAAATTTGAAAGTGAAGCATAAAATGCCTTTTTATAGTTAGGGTACTTCATTTTTTTAAAGATACTTTTAACAAATATATGTGTATCTGTGTTTTAAAGGTTAGCAACTGCTCCAACCTAGTTATAAGACTTTTCTCCTACTGTCTAGTTTTAGGAAATTTCAAGTAGTTGTCAGGAACAACGGATGGATCTGGAGTACAGTAAAGGGATTCAATGTATCATTTTCTCCTAAAGCTATTTTAAAAGTTGTCCACCTAAATAATTTATGCATGCTGCAGGCTGCTCAAGCAAGTACACTTTCATTAAAAATGGTGCTGGATTCTACAATGACTTCAAGATCTAGTATCTTAGGGGCAAAACCTAAATTTCATGGTGAGCTTGTGTAAGCATTATTTGCATTCATACCTATTTCTCAGGAAATATTAAGTCCAGAATATTTATAGCTACAATTATTAAAGCAAAGGTCTCACATTCCATGTGTCACACTAAAAAAAGTACTTAATTCAAAGTCCAGAGTAGAGATTAGCTATGAATTGGGCAAAAAATAAGCATGCTTTTAACACCATAGTATTACCTAGTTGATTAACAATTCCAACTTTATCTGCACACCCCCAAAATCTAACACAGACAGAAACGTTTTTTTATGTTCTTGATAAAGGACTACTGAAAACATTCTCAGTCTAGAAAAGAGCATTCTGCACATCCAGTAGCCTTGTAAATGGGCAACAGAATTGGAGGTGTGCCATTGCTCTGATTATAAAAGGCAGAAATAATTTATCTTTGACAATTCAGTAAAATTAAGGCCCCACTCTGAACTTCCTCAGAAACAGGGTCAAGAAAAAAAGGTGGTCTAGAAATAAAGTGCTAAATATTGATGTTCATAGAATCACAGTAGCTTACTCCAAGACAACAGCAGACAATAGGTGAGGATATAACTTTTTTCATTTGTAAAAGTAATTGATCTTCACGATATCTCATTTATTAGATCAGTAATGAAATTTCATCACTTAGATTTCAGATTAAGCCTAAAATTGAGAAGCAAGTGCTCAGTTTTACCTCCAGATCACTAGACTATACACCTCAGAAACTATTCAGGCCCCATGTAAAATAACTATTTATTCCTTTTTCAAGAGCTTCATATACGGAATTGTATTTTAAAATCACAACACATTATCTTGTGTTATTGCTGGAGAGTATAATAAATGTAGTCCAGAGGCACAGTCCTTGTGATATATGGCATTAATGACACTCATTCCACCCAATACTTCTCATCCATACCTATTAAGCTAGAAAACATAATGACAGAATTAATTGGATCTGGTTACACTGCACGGAGACTTTCAAATCTACTCCTTTTTAACAGTCTGAGTAAATAAAAGTCATGTACACCTTCAGCTGTCGTCCACGTGAACTGTTAAATTATTCTGGCAGCAATACTCAAATAATGAGAATTTCAGCCAAAAATATACTTTAAAACTTTTGCCACATACCAGAACAGATTTTTCAGTCTTACAACATCTCAATAAGTAAAGTATGTATTAAAGTTATTTTGCAAAGTACTTCAAATTTAGTTTTTAATACTTGGACCAGAAAAGCAATAATAATTTTAAAACTTTGAATGAACCACACAGCACAGAAAAAAATAAAGCCACTTAAATCTGTTTCAACTGAGCATTCAAGAAGGGTACATCATTTGCAGCATCTCCAGCAGAGATGGAGTACAACAGCAAAGCAGGAGTTAACAGTTCAATATGACTAGCCACAACGAATCCTTCACAGAAATACATAACTAATAAATTGTCATTTGCTAGTGTTGGTTTATTTCCTGACAGCATGCAGTACATTTGCAATTTACAATTTTATTCAGAGCTAGCAGCAGTTTAAATCTAGTCTAACATTTAAAAATTATTCATTAGATGCTTTTTACAGTAACTTACAGGAGTTACCTACCAAAATAAGGAGAACTGGATATAACAGAGGAATATTTGATTTTTCCAACATATCTACTAGTTGCTGGGTTTCTTGAATGGCATACTTTTTACCCTAAATGAAAATAAGTGTTTAGAATTACTGAAAACTTCAAGCAATGATTTCATAAAAACGGAATTCAAAGAGCTGTTCTTTACAAAAAAAAAGATACAACACTTTTTTTGGTTTTGGGGGTTTTTCTTTGGTTGGTTGGTTAGTTTTAATATATTAGTAATGCTTTTGTCTGGTAAAGTTATAGCTGTTTGAAAAAGACTGAGATTAATAATATTATCCTTAAGAAATATCTATATCTATATCTATATCTATATATAGATATATATCACAAGTTTAAAGATCTTGATTGGTCTCAGGTATGGTTCATCTAAAACCTTCCTGTTCCCATACAGGGACCCAAATACACATTGCATGGCATGCATGTGTCCAAAATGGGAAACACTAATTTAGACCATGGTAGCAATGCACAGTTAGATGACTACACATATGACATACCTCTTCTTGAGACAATTCACTTCAATACAATATCTATGAAAGGAAATTTTAAACTACTTCAGTTGCACCCCTCTTGGGCAAGAATTCATGGCTAGTTTAACAACATACTGATGGAAGTGCAGAACCAGGAGAGAAAGAACAGACCAGTATCTCAAAGTTCTAGTTTGGTGCTCATCAGAAACACCAAACATCGGAATGGATACAGCATTATAGAAATAACAAACAACTTATTATTCAAATATGTAACTATTACTAGTAACTTCTAGTGCAAAAGTAAAAGCATGCATCCTTACTACTTACTTTTACGCAAACAAAATTGTAGCACTGTCCTGAAAAGATGTTTTGTAGATGGCTATCATTTTTGCTTAGAGATATTGATATAGCTTCAACCTGATTAGAAAAAAAAAATGTTACTATGTCACAAATTTGACCTCAGCTTTAACTATCTGCTAAAGCTTCCACCATTATGGCAAAGTTTGTTCATTTAAATGATTTAAAATTGGCATTTGTTACTTACATTATGAGAATTAAAAATTGATCAAATTTTCAGGTGACTCAACAGTGAAGTATGCAGTGCAACACACTGCAGTTTTCTGCAAGTTTTTGCTGAAGCACACTGTTAGAGGAAGCCATTCCAGAAACAGCCCTGCAAGTATCAGACACTACCGCTGATGCCTGGGTTAGGATGTTCAACTGTTCCCAGAGATGAAAACACTGTTCAAAGGATCAAGATGATCTAATGATTTTAGACCTCTGAGAAAGTCTCTATAATATTAAAATATTTTGTCTTCATGCAACTAAAAATAAATTAAGAAGTACTTATGAAAGACCAGGTACACAGGTATTCTAGGATTCTGCATACAAGACTCATTTAGAATTTCTCCTGAAAATAATTTCCTCAATGAATACTTTAAAATACTATCTTAAGCGCAGACATACTTATTTTGCAACCTTTAACTATAACACCAGCTAAGAAATGATCTTATCCTAATTAAAATAAAAAGTAGATTCTACTACATTATTGGCTTCAGGATTGCCTTAAGTAAAAGAGCAAACCAGGTAGTAGAAGGGGAATTTGTTCCCTACAAGAAGATAACACTTTGAAGCCAATAAAAAACCCCATGAAAATAAGGCAAAAAAACTTTCACGTTGCTTCTATTAAACCAGCAAATCTCACTGTTCCACTGCTCAGATGAGCTTTATTTCTGCCCAGAAGACATTATGTGTAGCAGCAAACAACAGAAGCAATACACTGCTGTGTTCCCTTGAAATGTCACTTAATCCACAATCCAACAGAAGTACCAAATACAACATTTAAAAAGGCTTTGTGCTGTTATCTAAAGCTGTATTTGTGTATTTTTTTAATACTTGGGGAGCTAACTTGTTTGCAAAGGAAGGTGGTTTGAAACCCAAAAGTTGGTATTTATGCACTGAAGATTTTAGAAACATTTTGGGCTGAAAATTTGGTAACACAGCCCCAAACAGTTGACATTTACTATTTTAAAGAGATTTAAAACAAAAAATCAAAGAAGGCAAGAATTACTTGAAATATTTTTAAAATGCAATACTCCAAGGCTCTCCTGGCTTGAACTTCTGTAGAAGTAAAATTAGAAATCCCCAGTACCTTTACAACCTTGCACATACTTAGATGAACAGCAGCATACTGCATGCCAGAGTCTTTTCAGAAGGTAAATAGAACATGACTCAAGGGAGAAGGCCTACTTTTTTTTTTCCTTGAGATATTACAATACATGATGCTTAAGTATTCCTGAACATTTAAAACTTAATTGGGTGTACCAGAGTTTTGATTTAACTTGAACAATTTGATAAAGCAGTACACTGAGCCTTTGTTTTATAGCCATATTATCCAACAAGAATTAAATCAGATTTCCCTCTTGGAAAAGTAAGCACAGCTGCCTAACTAGAAGCTTCAATACATCATCAATTAGCTAAAATTAATTCTTATTCTATTTGGCATGTTAGTGTCCTATGCAATTTTTCAATTTTTTTTTAATTTTTAAATTTTTAATTAAAATTAGTATTAATCAAAGTTGCCAGCTACTTGAGAGAGCAAAATTTACCTAAAAATACCACCTCAGTAAAAAGTGTTTGTCAGATAATGTTTCAGTGTTTAAATAGAAAAAAGTATATGGATTTGCTTAATCACTTCTGGTCATTGTAGCAATTGTTAATCAGCTAGTATAAAGAAGCAGAGATGGTAAGTTTTTATGAACATGAAGATAGGAATAATAAATATGTTTAATCTAAGGGTTCATAAAATGAATGACTGAGGATGTTTCAAAGAACAAGACAAGACAGGGATCTTGACAGAGTTCTTTCGCAGGTGTCACTGCAGGAATGTTTTGAAAGCGTTGAAGAAAAATTTAACAATCAACTTCATTATGAGGAAAGACAACATGGATCAAAAAGGAGAAGAACGGTGCTAGAAATCATCAAATAAATAAACTGGTTTAATAGAGCCATCAGAAAAATTCAGTCCCATATCAGTAGGAATCCCTTAAATTTATGCCCTCATTACCTTGTTTGTGGTCATTTTATGTGTGTTTTACTCAAATGCACTGTAGGTTCAGGTGCCTGACCAACCCAACAATTAACTGGTTTTGCAATGAAAATTTGAAAACATGTTGTAAATTTTAACTAGTTTTGGTGCCAGTCTGATTTGAGGTTGCTAAGTTTGGAGTTACAGTGCTGGTTGATCAAACATAATGCATTCTTTCACTTTTATTACTGGCTTGGAAGTGTTTCTCATGGTATGATTAAAGTGGTTATATGCAAACATAATATATAGATATAGTTAAGTCAGCACTTAAAGTAGTACTTTTTTTCTATTATGGGTAAGTGATGTATGTCTTCCTAGTAATTGCAGAATAGTTTAAATGGAGAGAAAAAAGGAAAAAATAGCAATGGGTCTGGTATCAGTGAAATGGAAACATACTTCTGCTCCATTATACAGCTGTTCAGACAAGAAAAGACATTATTCAATTCTGCTAATGTTTTGCACTTTTAAATGTAGACATTTAATAGACATAAAGCATGATTTTCCATGCTAAATACAATTCTTTCCAAACAAAAAATCTAAGTACAATGTCAAATGACATTTCTAGATATAAAATAGCAATCGTTTGCTACAGAAGAACATCCTACTATTAACTAAGCACACAATGCAGAAGATCAACAGACATGAATAAAACCATTACAGAAGTAACACTATGCAAATCACGAAAACTGTGTTTTTGAACAGCTATTCCCATCTGCTTCTCTGGGTAATAGAAACATGTGATATCATCACATAAGAAATAATTAAGAATCACCCCAAGATCAGTCAAGATTTAAGCAAATACCAAATATTAATCACCTTTGGGAAAATGAAGATATGTGGTAGTTCTATTAGTAGGAATAATGAAAAAGGAAAAGATAGTTAAATGCCAGTAGAAAATTCCACCAATACCCTACAGCAAAGGTTTCAATGAGCATTCACTATGAGTGAAATGTACCCTTATCTTTGCAAAAAGGCTGATTAATTTGACTTTGTATTCACAGTTCTGCAGGAATACAACTTACTCTTTAATTGGTTCAGACTTTAATTCAGACTTCAAAGTAACAAAAGCATATCCTCTGTAACATATTTGTAACAACTTGGGCTTACTGAATGCATAAAATCTAAAGAAAATGGCCTCTCTGTCTGGATCCAATTTCTCCTCTAATCTAATATATACATTTTAAGAGGATCTGTAAGATCCCCCTCTATAGCATAATTGGGCAGAAGATGCTTCTTTCTTGGTAACTTCCACACCTGGTGTTAATTCCTTGTAATTAATACTACAGTGACAGAGGAGGTCTCAGTTTCTGTATTCACATTATTTAGACCATTTCTTATGAGTTGTGACAACCAGAAACATTAAATTAATTGTACTGTTTACAGCCATAGAGTCGTACTTACTTTTATTTGGCTTTTCAGACATTCATGAAGGAGAAAACCTACTTGTGCAACAGCTTCCTTCACATCAGTAATAACACAAACTTGTTGTGATAGGTTGTCTGTGATCAAGAAGAAGACCTTAGTATTTCATGCAAACATAAATCAGTCAAAATTACTAATCTGCTAAACATTACCTTCAATCCATATACTGCTGTCTTTTGAGAACCTTTTCAACAGCTGTAAGTTTAATTTTAAGATGACTTATTTCAAGGCACAGTAAATATAACTACATAATTTATATAACATATATGTCAAATATAAAATTCTTATTATATTTTATATGATTTTGTACAACATGAAAACATCACATAAGGCCTGTCCCCAAAGCCCATTTAAATAAGGGACTTCTATGAAAAGGTATTTGTTCAGGTCCACATTACCGACACTAGATGACAACCAGGAATGTAACATTTTGAAAACTTCATACCACTTATCACTTCAACAGATCACTAAATGCAGTGTCAGCAATATTGAGAAAAGCAAAAAACCCCAGGAGATAGCATAAATCCTCTTCCCAACAATATATACTACATAATAGCCAAAACCAAAAAAAAAAAGTATTGAAGATACTGTTCAGGGGGACAGCAGATATAACTGTTCACCTCAATATCAAAAAAGTTGTAGAGTCAGTGACATAGATCTTGGCCTGGGGAACTTCTTAGATCTTTTACTGGTGGGGGGAAAAAAATATAATATTTCGTTAATACCAAGAACAATAGTTTCAAATTATTGCCTGATCTGCTCCATAAAGCAAGTATTTCAGAAAGTTGGTATTTTCTCATGTTATTGACTACAGTTTCAAGATTCAGTGAGCATTTTCCTTTCTTTAAGCAAACAAATCAAAATAATTCAAGTCTGGAACTCTCACTCCTAATTCAGAATTTTATGCTTTAGATGCTGAATTAATATGCAGACCAAGTCAAAAGTTTGCAATGTCTTTGGGGTAGGCCTTCCATAAGCAGCTAGAAAATTCATAAACGTAAAGTCATTTATGTTTAAGGCAGACTTCAATGAAACTTCAGGGACAGAAATATACAAAATACAACTACAAAATAAATTAGCAGTGAAAGACAAAAGAAATTATAAAATTATGGCCTAACTGCTCTTCAAACAAGTCTGAATATAAAGATACATATTTGTTGCACGTGGAAAGTTTTTTTGTAATTACATACCACACAACAAGTTCAATCAGATGCATTACTTAAGTAAACATCTCGCTTTCTGTCATAAGCTCAAAGACTTCGTTACAAAAATAGACATACAGACCTGAAAATTAATTTTAAAGCTGCTCCAGAGTTAGCATTATTGGAAAGTGACTTGTGATTTTTAAACAATTTTTTGTCAGCAGGAAAAGTGAATTAGCCAGTGAGGATCCCAAAAGATAATTACAATGATTTTATGAATCATGGGCATATATTATGTTCAATATTTATAACGTGACAACGAAAATAGTGGTAGCAACTGGCTTTGTATTAAGTTAGCAAGAATGGGGAGGGGGTAAGAAAGAGAGAGAACAATAAACATCTGCTTATAAATCATCACAACCAGATGAAAGCGAGAATTAAAAAAATGCATGGCCAGTTCTCACAGGACTGGAAATCATGGGATACCACAACTGTGGGAGAAATTATCTTCCCATAGATTCACTGGGCAAAAAAATATACTGAGCATGCATCAAAGTTGGCTTCTACTTAATACAGAATAACTTTACAGTCTAAAAAAGGGGTCAATGGGAAACCATATTGAATTAATTTCTTATCAGCAGAAAGAAACCGGTGGGTAGATTGAAATCAGAGCAAGAGCCACTTGAATTTAGTACTGTACACGGAATGCAGATACACGGCAGATATAAAATAGATACACATAACAAACCAGACTGGCATATCAGATTTCAATAACCCAGATTCTATTGAACTAAGTAATTTAATGAAGAAGGTCAGACTGGAGCTATTACAAAAATCCACATGTGGAAGAAGGCTGTGGAATCCAAAAAGGCACCATAACTTATGCTCAGACAGTTCTTTTTAAAAAGAAGTCAGTTATCAACAAGCGTCAAAAGTAACCTCACAAGAGGCTGCTCAAAGACTGCAACTATAAAAGCCCATCTCACTCCTCTCCCCAGTCCCCTTAAACCTCTGACTTCCTGTAATGTAGATGACAAAGGAGAGACAACTGCCAAAAAAGCAACTAAGATTTGCAGGTTGAATTTAATAAAGAAGAAAGCAAAATTGAATGAAATGTGAAAAAGTGTATTTTCAATCTGGAGGAAGAACTTAAATGTTATAGGGGTAAAGTCTATTAATAAAGTATGAAAAAATTAAAGTAATGATAATATACACATTGAAAAGTTGCTACATGCTTTTAAATGATCAAGAAAAATGAATAAAGGAAGTCTGGGAAATTCATCATTTATAAAATTATCACTGCAAAGCAATAGTTCTGTTCTAGTTGAGGTTTAAAACTCATTTCCATTTAAATCCCAACTGTTTCAAGTGGTCAAAAAGATCTGTATGTTGATTTAGACGGTCTGCACCTTTGTTGTATTGTGGGAAGGAAGGCTGAGTGGAGCCTTCCTCCCCGAGACTGCCTGTGTCCCACCTCTGGTAAACTGATGGAGCTCTCTGTCACTCAGCATAATCACACTGAACCCAGCGAGCGCAGCTGGAGCGCCGGCTCGTAACTCCACGGATTTCATGAGTTCCGCTGACTGCCAGTAAAGCTAATCACGTGCAGCATTTCATTCCTGGTTTTCAGAAGTCTGTCTGGGTGAACAAAACAGTCATTCTGGAAAGCCATGTCATGGCCATGTCACAAAGAATTTTAATAATCAACTAACAGAATTTTGGTTTTCATCAGACCGCTGGATAATTCAGGCTGGAAGGGACCTCAGGAGGTCTCTAAGTGCAAACTCCTGCTCAAAGCAGGGTCACCCATGAGGTCAGGCCTCGTTGCTCAGCCCCTTACCCCCCTGGCACTTGAAAACCTTTCAGGATGGAGTCTGCACAACTTCTCCAGGCAACCTTTTCGCTGCTTGCTTGTCCTCATGGCGAAAGAGTTTTTCCTTTTATTAAGTTGGAACTTCCCTTGGTTCAATTTTTGTCTGTTACCTCTTGTCCTCCCACTATGCACCACTGTTCTACTTTCCTACTTTCGTGCCATACCTTCCTTTTTATTTGCCCAACCTTTTATTTTTTTTTCTCTCGCTATTACATTATCTATCAAAATCTCTTGCTTTGGCCTCCTCTTCCTCTACTTACTTTAAACTTCTTATTTCCCTGGAAACCTCCTCTTCCCAATGCTCATCTCCCATTTACTCTCGGCTTCTTGCCAGCTGCACCTGATTATGGAGTAACCTTCCCCGTACTGCATCACATTTAACATCCACTCAAAGCATATTTTTTGCATAAAATTAAGAATAGTTAAAACTTTACACTGCCAAATTCTGTTAGGTTAAACACTCAATTTCTCTATCAGGAAAGGGGGAGGAATTTTCTTCATTAAAGATAAATTTGATACAGGATTTCAGAATTTGTTCCATTAAACCTTCTCTCTCTCCAGCAGAAAACTTAATTTTCAATTTTTCTGTGCCGTTCTTTGATATCCTGAAAGCTTTAGGTCACATTATTATTCAGTAACACCTGTTACCGTCTTTATCGTACGATCTCACCCAAAATTATAAATTAAAATGTGTGTATGTTTATGGAACTACCTTAGTTAGATAATGTTTTAAGTGTACTCTAACAAATGACTTAGAAGTTTACCCTGAAAAGCATGCCACAAACAAGCAGCAATTAAAATAATACTTTGTTTGAATAAAGATCATAAATATCATATCCTAGGGAATTAATACCATAAGAATAAAAATGCATCTGAATGGTAAATAGGTTTTAGCCTACAGACATAAATTTTTTCTCTTAATTGCACATTTATGTGTATACATACACTTGTTTTTGTAAACATATGTTCATACCATGCCATTCTTGGTCTGTCATTACAATTCCTACTCTTTTGGAGGCACACCCTATTCAACAAAATACTTTTGAAGTTTGCAGTAAATTCAAAATAGTAAATTAATTTATCATAATTCCATTTTCACTTTCTACATAGCAATGGCTTGACTGGTCTGGAAATTCAGTATGATTCTCCCTGGCATTTTTAGTATCTCATAACAGAGATGTTTCTACCACTGTAAACACAGGAAAAATGAAATAAGTACTGCTAAGGATTTAGTTCATTCATGCCCAAGAGAATGAGTTGAAATTGTTATTCATATAACATAGGTAACGAAAAATATCTAACAATTCTTTGTTTACCCATTCCACATTTCTCGGTAGCCACAAAAACCAAAAGCTAAACTTGACACTGTCCCTACCAATACTAGTATACAAAGAAGAGAGGAAGATTTTGTGGAAGAAGACAAGGAAGAGGGTTGTTTTCACCTGACAAGAACTATTCTGAGGAATACCTCCCCACCTCCCAGCCTATTTCTTTGTCTTGCAGCAGAGAACAGCCACTGGTTAGTGAGCATGCCCATGAAAATGCAGCCCACCTTGAGTAAGATATCTGTCCTTTGATAAACAAGGCTTATATCAGGTTTGGGGTTTTTTAATAAAAAGTCATGTGGGTTCTTCATATAACACCAAACATAGTATGTAGCTCCCAACCGTCATAAACAGTTTGAAGGCATTACAATATTTTTCTTGGCACTTGCAAAACATAATTGTATCTACATCATCAGATACTTATTTAGCCAAATGTGAGGGCAAAATATCCAATCTGCAAGTGCATGCTCTTGTCATTGCAGAAGAAGGGCCCTTAAGAAAAGAAAAAGGAGGCGGAGAGAGTGTCAAACTCTAAGTTGCAAACTTCTACTGAGAAACACCATTTAAAGTTTACATGTTGGAACTAGAGTTCAAAGATACCTACCCTGAGGGCAGTAGTCCTAATGGAAATTTTTTAGGATGTTTTGTATTAGCCTGATCTTAACTACATTTCTCGATGAGTCACCCTTATTGTAAGATGATGTTTTCTTACTTCAAGACTATTAAAAATAGGCATG